TAATAATAATAATAATAATAATAATAATAATAATAATAATAATAATAATAATAATAGTAATAGTAACATAGTGAGCAATAATGTGCTTGGTTTTATCATGCATGGTTAAAACCAAAAAAAATATGAATAACCTAAATTTGTGCAGCTTGATATACTTAGCCTAAAGTTTTCAAGTCTACAGTCTTCATGATTTGACTGTATTCTTCTGCATCTTTAACCTGGTTTGGTATTACCTACGTGTAAATGTCTCTCTTCTTTTTAAGAATTAAACTGTTGCTATTTTCAGGTTTCCTCACTTAACATTTTGAACGTTCATGTAATTTGGTATATTAACGTCGTAAAACTCGCAATGCGGTGTCATAGATCCTTTAACTTACACACACATGTACCTCTGTTTTATTCGGGGAAAGAAAGAAAAAATGTAATGTGTAAAAGCTTGACTCGATTGCACTGTTTTCCAACAGTCAGAATTTTTAAAATAACAAAGGTTCTCTTTCAAACCAATAATTTGTAAGGTCAAAATTTCATTTTCAAAAGCTTTGTGAAATTCGAATTGTATGTTTGATGAGTGTTATTTATAACCATGACGCTTGCTATCGTTAGGTTTATTTATACAAACCATCGACCTGTTTAGTCGGAAAAATAGAATACGATAGTCGATGTTTAACACGGATTACCGTTATCATGTATTTATTATTGAGTTTACAGAATTAATGTAAAAAGCTTTTGTCACGAACCAAGAAACGCGCGCGGAGTTTCTTGTTATGATTAAGGAGTGATGTAACTTATATATTATTTAATTAATATTTATTGATGAAGGTTTAAACTCATTATGTGATTGTATCGAACATTTAGAAAGCAATTTTGTCTCTATAGTTTGTCTGTCTTTTGTGGCCGACTACACTTAGAGCACACCTACTGTAGTCCTTTTCGTGGAGTTTGGCAAGGTTGCATAGAATCTTGTGTAAAGACATGAAGTTTTGTCGACACTAATCTAAGAATGCGTAGTTTTCTATTTATCATTTGATCTCTTATTGGGAATGCGCCGGGTTTAGGGTGCTTATTTGTATCGGATAACTAAATAGAAATCTAAGGATGTTGCATCACAGGTTAAAGAAAGGTGTGATGTATACCTTTATGACAGTGTTTGAATAAATAAAGCAACGGTACTGAAACGAAAGCAGAACTCTTGCAATGCGATGTTTTGGGGAAAAGTCCACTGCAGCAAAGATATTGGTGATATTACTTCTTATGAACCTTACTGAAACAGCAACGAACAGAAGACTTAATTCTTATGAGAAGGACAAATTTTTCCCCTATAACTTCTACCTACGTACAATCTTCGGCGTTTGTTAGTGGCTTGGATGTAATGTTTCACCAATTTCCGTAGTGATGATAACGAAAATTTGAAAAGGCCAAAATTCCAATAAGTAATGAAATGCGCTTGTCAGGGTTATAAAGATAAAAAACCAAAATGACAATATATGCCAAAATTACAGTATGTGTTACCTAGCACGACCGAGACCTGGTGAAGCATTTAACTACCTTACGGTACGTTCTTTTATTACAACCCTAAACGCGGACAAAAAAAAAAAACTAGTTTTGTTACCTTCCACATACTGAAACTTTCCCTCAATCGAACAATATAAAATCATGAAAATAGTTTCGGGACAACGTGAGAACAATAAATCCGTATCTTTTTTTGCCGAGATCAAGCTCTGTACAGCTGGTAGAGTAAGTCTCGTCTGTCAAGAAGAAAGATTTTTACCTCCGTATGGTAGACTAAACACAAATCTGCCAGCCTTTTCACTTTGGAAAAGTGTGGGAAATGAATGGTATCGCTGAAAGGCCCTGCTCTGTTACCTCTACGGTTGTTGTTGATTTGACTTGTCGCGCTTTCGAATTTAATCTTTAGACCGAAACATTGATTAATAATGGTTACTTCGACGAGTCAAAATCTATAGATAAAAAAGAGTAAAAGACCGGACACAAAGTGACAAAATGCTTTACCCTTGAAACCCTGGTAGCGCTAAGTGGCATATTATGTCACAAATTGTTCAACATGAGGACATGTGGCTTGACAGATCATCCATTTAACTTTTTAAACCTTTTAGTTTTCTAAATTAATGTGAAGTACAACGGTCTACAACATGTCGGAACCATGTAAGCAACAGAGAGCCGGCTGCTAAATAAGCTTTAATTAAGGTTTTATTTTAATTAAAATTCTTCTGGAAAAAAGGAGGCTTTGTCGCTTGTGATTTTGCAAAAACCAAGGCTGTCCTGAGTCTGACCTTAATTAAAACATTTTCAAAATACTGCATGTAGAGCATAGAGAACAGAACGCTGTTATGCTTTCCTTTTGAATGATAGGTTGAAAGTGTGAAACGAAAAAAAAAAAGAAACAATGGATGAATTTGACTTGGAAGCATTTCTCAACTTGCCCTATAAACATGTCAAATTTATATTATAGTTCTCAAAGTGGAATTTAAAATGAGCGTATTTCAATGTCAATTGCTATTCAGTGTCAGTATTATTTCGGTGACTCTTCCGTTCACCTGTAAAAAAAAAAAGTTGATGCGAAGCTTTTAGTGTAATCATTCATCAGTATTACTCACGTCCTGTGGAGGTTGCAATCGACATTGCTAAGTCTGTTGCATTACGCTCCTTGTAGAAATCTGTTTCCTTCAGTGCAACGTCGTCGAGTCGTCATGTACACCTCATTTCTCTAGTTTGACAGAAAAAACCTTCCTCTTTTTGGTTTGCAATTATCTCTTTCAGTGAATCATCTATTACCACTTCTATTTTGGGTTTGTACCTAGCCTGAGGTTTGAAAAAACAACTTGTTATTTATTGTGACTTATACGCCTTCAATTTTCCTCATAATACAATGTCGCCATTTGATGACTTGCATTAACATTTCTCTGTGTGCAGCTAACAACGTCAACAGCGTTATATACGTAAGCGCCTATCTTTAACATACAAACAGTTTTAACAGTTTTTTTTTTTTCAACTAAAACACACAAATATGTTAGTTTCGAGACTTAACGAAATGCGCTGTAAGAACAACAGTAGTATATATTTTTATCAGTATATATAAGGTAAAACGAAATTAAATTTATCACCTGCCTGGTACATCAAGATGTACAATGCCCTGACATGTTCTGGAAGTGACAATAACAGATAAACAGTGTCAGAGCCATTAAAAGCCTGAGGCCATTTGCATAGAGATTAGTTTCTTTGTGTAAAACGCACACTTTAAACACCAGCAACACTTTACTATTAAAATCTTAATGGATTATCGAAAATTTCACCTTGAAACGTTTAGTTCGCGCCTTCGGCACTTATGCAAACATTCTCGACGGCACGAACAGAAAAGAATCCATCCAGCAACAGCAAAAAATGCCTCCAGTACGATATAATGTCTCTTGAGAAGTTTCCTAAAAATACAATATTTAAACGCCCTCATTCAGTTTTGAATGAGCCATCTTTGTCATATCCCATTTCGCGTGACAGTATGATTTCAGCAAATCATACAACATAAATTTCCTTGCTTTCTATTGGCGTGGACAGTATTTCCATATGCGTTTGTTCAAACAGGGCGACTTTTTACGGGACTGTGTTTGCTTTTAGTGACGATGAATCTCTTGTGTCTGTTGCGAGGTTTTGTTGTTTTGGAGGTCGGGATTTGCACTTAAACTTACCCCAGGCGTTTTCAAAAAGTCTATTCGATGTTCGCAAGATAGCGGAGCAAAAGGAAGGGCACCGATAACGTGTTTTCTATCAATGTTCGTGAAATGAAAATTTAAATGATATTCATATTAAGTGATGTGGAGTCTTGTTTCGAAGCCCAATCAAACAAACTCGACAAATATACTGTACATTCGGAACTTTTGATTTGCGTTTCGCACGCTTGAAATGTTTAAGTAAGTGCACAATGTTAAGCCGCGAGAAATGCCGGCTTACTGTCAAAGACTGTGTCGCTTTAATAGACGTGATTAGCTGCACTCAAACGCGCAGTGGATCAATAATTCATATTTCTGGCCTTGTTTAATCGATTTACATGTCAGTCAAACGCAACCTCGATTTTCTCTAGCTGCATATTTTTGAAACATTCTTTGGTTAAAACTGGTGTGAAACACTACTGATCTTTATTCTGACGGCACGTACCCTTCGTCGTCCCTGTTTTTCCCTCGCACTGGAGATGCGTCAATTGAAGCGTTCTTTGACCTGATTGTGATCGTGTCAACAAGCAACCTAGTCGCCTGGCAGAAAATACTTCGTACACAATGTCGCGTTTAATGTTTGCGTTTTGGATTCTGGTGACCACTTCGAACAAAGGACAGTCGGCGGAAACCAACCATTCTGAACACTGCGCTAATCCGGGCCGCATATCAAACCTTACAGGTGACTTGATACTGGGGGGCTTGTTCCCTGTTCACATTGTACAGCCTACAAATCAAGGGACAACACAAGCACACGATATCAATCTATACGGAGTGAACTGGGTAGAAGCCATGTTGTTTACCATCCAAGAAATCAACGACAATCATTTACTGCCGCGAAATTTCCGCCTAGGCTACGACATCAGGGATTCGTGCAACGATGTTCCCGTGGCATTGAAGGCTGCTTTAGATTTCGTGCTTGACGCAGGAAATTCAAGCGCTAAAAGTAGCACGTCCAAGAATTGTTCATCTCGCTATTGCAAATGTACCGATAAACAGACAATGATATCAGCGGTCATTGGCGCGGCATCATCGCCGATATCGATAAATGTAGCGAACCTTCTTGGTGTGGACAATACCCCTCAAATCAGTTACTCTTCTACCAGCGTGCTTCTCAGCGATAACGCAGTATATCACTCCTTCTTCAGGACGATACCATCTGATACCTACCAGGCTCAAGCGCTTGCCGATCTGTTAAAACAGTTCGGTTGGACGTACGTATCTGTCGTTGCTTCTGATAACTCTTACGGGCGCGCTGGGGTCGATTCCCTACGAACGGAACTTAAAAAGCGAGGGATTTGTATTGCTCTGGAGAAGATTTTTAATCCCTCGCTGTCGCAAGAAGAACTGCAAGAAATAATCGTGTCCTTGAAGAATGAGCCGCGCGCCCGGGTGATTATTTTATGGTGCCAAAGACCGAACGCGTTGGGATTCTTGAACGAAGCGTCGCGGCAAAAGTTGAGCGGTAAAACTTGGATTGGAACGGAAACTTGGGGGGACGCGTACCAGCTTGAAACGATGGATGAAAACGTTGTCGGTGGAATGCTTGGAGTGTTACCTTTATTGAAGAAGCACGCGGGGTTTGAGGAACACTTGAATAGCTTACATCCAAACAACACTGATAAAAATCATTGGATGTGGGAATACTGGACAGAAACGTTTGATTGCAGGAAGAAAGAGGGACCGAGCTATCTCACATCCAGCCGTGAAGAGCAAGAAAGGGAATTTTACGTTTACACGACCAAGCGACCGAATGAGACCATACTGTGTCCAAAAGAACGTGGTCTACCAAGCGCTGATTCGCTGCCACGCAACAAATACACAAACGTCATGGACGCAATCTACGCGGTTGTTTACGCCGTGAAAAATATTTTCGATTGCAAAGATGAAGATAGTTTTCTCCAGGGTGGAACTTGTCCTTCTGTTGACTCGAATATTCAACCAAGCGAAATCCTCAGGTTCTTAAAGAACGTATCTTTCCAGGGAAGATCTGGCTCTCGAATTATGTTCGATGAAAATGGGGATCTCCGCTATGGATCATACGCTATCAAGAACCTTCAACAGATTAGTGAAGAGGAAAAGAAGTTCGTTGAGATTGGCATTTGGAGTGGCCTCGACGGCAAACTTTCACTCAATAACAACTCCGAGATCATGTGGAACGGGTGGACTAGAGAAAAGCCAGTCTCGACTTGCTCTGACCCGTGTGCAGCGGGATTTTACCCGGTTTACGGGAGTATCACGTGTTGTTGGAAATGCGTCGAGTGCGAGAATGGCTTTGCGAAACTAACCGCTGGACAAGACACTTGCAAGAAATGTCTCGAGGGATATGTGTCGAACAAGCAGAGAACGAACTGCGTGAAACTAAAATCAGATTACTTGGCGTGGGGAAACGGAGAAGGTGTGAGTGCGGCGGTCCTCGCCTGCATCGGCTTGGTCATATCTATCGGTGTATTGGCAGTTTTCTACAAATATCGCGACACAGCCGTCGTCAAAGCATCCAATCGAGAGCTGTCATTCGTGCACTTGATATGCATCGTAGCTATATTTATTCTTCCACTTGTTATTACAGGAAAACCGACTGTAGCCGGCTGTGCAGCACTGCCATTGTTGTTTGGAATTCCTTTCACTCTCTGCACTGCTATCATGTTGCTGAAAACGGATCGACTCCTGCGCATATTTCAAGCCAGATCTCGGCTGACCGCATCCAGCAGCTATCTCATCAGCAACAAAATGCAGGCTATTGTTGCCACGGTAATGACGTTTGTCCCGGTTACCTTGACAACAGTCTGGTTCATAGTTCATCCTCCTGAAGTCGTTGTTGAAGTTGACACCTCAAGAGAAGGTTGGCAGATATTTAGCTGCGGCGAGCCCAACGAACTTTTGAACATTACCATTCTTGGATACGTCTTGATCATAGCCCTGCTGTGCACTTACTTTGCGTTTAAAGCCCGTAAGCTTCCAGAGAACTTTAATGAAGCTAAGTTCATCTGCTTCGCCATGTTCGCTTTCTGCGTTTTCTGGCTCAGTTTTTTTCCTGCGTTCTATGACAGTACTGGCTCGACACGAACCTTCGTGTTTTGTGTAGGAGTACTCAGTTCGGGATACGCTGTGCTGTGTATCATGTACGCGCCAAAACTTCGTGTTATTCTTTTCCATCCAGAAAGCAACACCACGGAGGCGTTCAGAGCAGCAACGATGGTTGCCATGAAGAAATCCGGGGTTGTCGTTTCCTCCAATAGTGCCACACCTCCTCGCATAACACCCGTCCCCTCGCCTGTGCCATCAAGGCGGAATTCTCCTGACATTGTTTCGTTAGAACATGAAGGGAGATCCTCAGCAGTAAGCATCGGTCGCACGATTTTGCCATCACCTCAGTTAGGACTCCGATCGTGAGCTAGTGCAATAAGCTCTGCCAGTGTAAAGGTAGAACGCTTTCAAGAATAGTTGTTATGGATGTAGTTGAAAGCAGGTGGACAATTTTGCAGGCCAATGAGAAAGACTTTATCACGAACGCTGTCACTGCCGGAAAATAAACGTCTTTGTTGACCAAGAATCTGTGGGTGCACAAGCTCGGCAAACTCTTGACTTTGAAAGATCTTGAAAAGCTCGAATTTATCTCGTGCACTATGAACGCGCAGTTATATGCAGATATTTTTTCTATTTGTTGTCCTGTTCAGTTTCGTCTCCCAGCATCAAGCATAGCCTTATTTACAAAAGCCTCTCTTCATACGTTTAATACAAACCCCGCGAGCAGGAGCGATGGCTGACAATGAACTTCAATGTTATAACGTACTCGACAAAACTCCCCATGGTGTCTTTTCGTTTGTGGACAATCAGAGAGACTGCTTTGACCTGTGTAGGGCTGGGATTAATTAGACGTTAGTCGTGGTCGGAGTCGACTAACAGACGTCTTAGTTTGTCCCTTGGGGAGTGGATTGAGGGCGCAAGAGAGGCGTTTGTTCGTTTAAACTTTGTCAATCAGTGACGATAATTCCCAATCAACAAATGTTTTGGGTAAAAAACTTTGCCATCACTGAAACTTCAATTTGTATCATGCTCAAGGCTAAGATTTGGTCAGCAAACTTTGAATTAATCAGCTAACTTTCACTTTGCAGCATGAAATGAATTGTTTCCATGTGATATTTGATTACTTTGTATCAAGCCGCAAGATGACCGTATGAAAACTGTGCGCTTAGGCCATCTGTATGGCAATGTAAGGTTTAGGTAGCCTAGAATAGAATTTACACATTAGTATACATTGATTCGCCCTATATATTCATATAGCATGGATCAATAGATCGGTCTGACTGATTTAATGGTAATAACAACCGGACAAAACATTTTATAATGTCTTTTTTTGTGTAAAATTGAACATTTAAAAAATGAAAAAAAAAAACATTTTCCGTGTTTCTATCGAGTTTACGAGGACGAGAAATGTTGTGGGAAAACGAGCCATAGGCGAGTGTTTGCACAGCTTTTTTCGAGTTCTCCATAACATTCACAGGTGTTTATGACCCGTTGAAAACGACAGGGGAATGTTTTCCTTTTCAGAAACAGTGCGAGAAAAAACGAGAAAACACTTGCTTTATTCGATTATCAAAAGATAAATTTTCTTTCCTTACACCACCATTACATCAACAGCTCGTGCTAATTCTGTGTTTTTAGCGAGTTATTTAACAAATAAAGAAGCCTACGCCGTGTATTACACTGTGATAAAACATGGGGCTTTGACCAATCAGAGCGCGCGCGAGGCATAACTTTTGGGGCTT